CAGTCACACTCCCAAACTACACATCAGTACCTGTAATTTGATAATGCCAGCAGCAAGTATGAACAACCAGTTTATGTAGAAAATACTTTGTCACCATGTTGCATTCTCCACAGTATTGTTTTGTCAAAGATCTAAAAATTTAAACAGAATTTGTAAAATAACAAAGCATCTCAGTCAAAACCAGTATGTCCGTGGGAGATGCAATTAAGAACTGCAAAGTGGGAAGGACTCTGACTCCCAGCATCAATCCCACCAGCCACAACAGTCCCTTAAGACAGGGCCTCAGAATTTGTTCAAAATCATGGATTCAAATTCAGATAGCTAATTTAAACCTAATGTGGATTCATAAGTTGCCTACAGAGGAAAAGCTCTTCATGAGTTAACTGAGAGAAATGTCATACTAAACTGAAAACTGCTTACATTATTACAGTGCAAAGCACAGTATTCTAAAACAAGTGTTCCATCCCAAACTGACATGTAAGAACAAAAACACAAAAAGAGGGTAATGTTTTCAATAAACACTTCCTCAACAACATTTTACCTTGGACAAGTAGAAACAACACACAGAAATTTGTCTTGATAAATGAACTCTCATGTAATCTCACCGCACCATGCAAATCTGAGTTCATTTTCAAACTCAGTAAGTATTCTTTAGGCCATCTAGAGAGATACTGTTTTTTCCAAGATTAAGCAAAACTGGGTTACTATTAATATGTCACTATCATTTCAATGTACAGTAATAAAGTATAACTTTTCTGTACAAACTTCAGTCATGCAAGTGAAGAGTTTTTCCTTTAGTTACAAAGTTAAAACATTTAGTTGGAAAAGAACATTCAATATCTTTGTCTCCTGCCAGCCCAGAAAAGTTAAATTAAAAATCTAAGTATTGGCATCAGTGATGTCTATCTGTCAAAGGGGTCTCTTAAGAATTCCGAAGACTTTTACCTATTTACCAAATTAGCTGGTATTAGAAAGCATAAACAATAAAAAGCCATTATTTTTTCTTGCTTGCTTTAGTAATTCTTCTCTATTTCTATGGTAACTATGAGGAAAATGTCTGTTTTGCAATTCTTTTAACTAACACAATAATACTTTATCACAACCCTAAATAAATGCCAAAGATACACATTACCTTCCATACCTGCTACCAACACTGGGCTACACTGCCCAATTCTGGTTCTGCTACCATGTACGATAGTTATTTAACACCTCTGTGCCTCATTTTCCTTATCTGTAAGGTAGGGATAATAACTCTTGTACCTGGCAGGACTACTACAAGGATTAAATTCATGTAAGTAAAATACTTCGAAGAGTATCTAGAATATACTACTTCCTACCTAAGTGTTGGCCCTTTTTAAAAAATTACTGTTTTAATCATGTTTGAGTTTCATACTAATGCTGTAAAGGTAGGACAGCAGATAATCATTTTACCTTTTTCCTATAGAACAACCAAGGCTCAAAGAAATCGGGATATATATACTGTATGTCTGAAGTTAATAATCACTCTTTCCAACATTTAAGCACTCGTATAATAACAGTCACACTGAGAATGAGTCTTTTATCCCCAAGGGCTGCATTTCTTTTACACATTTTAAGGGAAGTGAGTCAGACTTCTAAAAAGAAGTATGTATGGAATAATGACACTAACTAGACAAGATGAAGTTGTTATTAGCTTTCCAGGGTTTAGAACAGCTTTTAAAAATTTCACTATTTCTGATTATAATTTATCTTGAGAATAGAAACAGTGCAAAATTCAGAGTCAACATTCAAATTCCAGTTCCATCTTTTATAAGCAGGGACACTGGACAATCACACTTCTCTGAGCCTCAGTTATTTATCTGTCAAATTAGGACCTGTCTTACAGGCTGACAGGAGAACTAACGGGAATGTGGAGGCAAAACAGCTTTATTACTATAAAAACTACACCAAAACATACTAGATTTAAATTTACTATTGAGATTACGGTGAGACATACACTGAACAGGCATTCCTTTAGTTTTTCATTCATTAACCATTTTCTTCCTAAGTCTTCCAATATAGTATAAAGTACTTATTGTGTAACTACGTAAGGTGACGGTTTGGACTGCCCACTGCGTCTGACGTAGAAGACAAATCAGGTAACATGAATAGCACCTCCTGCAGTATCATGCACCGAAACGAGACTCAAAACCTAAGCATGAGAAGTAAGACAACAGATGCCAGGGGTGGCAGCCCACGCCTGTAATCCCAGTACTTAGGACACTGAAGCAGAAGGACGGACACAAGTTCAAGGCCAGCATGGCCTACACAGTGAGTTTAAAGCCACCTGAACTACATAGGAAGACCCTGTCTCAAAAAACAAAAAGCAACCAAAAACACATTTTAAAAAAGAACAGACTAAGTGACAATCACATTTGTTTTCCTTTCAGATTTAAAATTAAACACATAAGTATTTCTATTAAATCACAAGGAAACTGTGGACATACACCATCATAGTAGTAACCTGTAATACGTTATACATGTTTTCAAAACCATTCACACACACCATCGTAGAAACATAGTATCAGTCAGCTTACAGAGTATTTTAACATGCACAAAACATCCACTCTTAGGTAAGACCCTTCAGTATCACAACATAACAAAGAAGTCACACAACACAGTAACATCCCTGTTTAGAGTAGTTACACTTATGATTCTGAGTCAATGAGAACAAAAAGAAAAAGTTAGTGGAAACAATACCTACACTGCAAGGTATAAGCTTACTAGAAATAAATTAGCTACTTAAAAATAACATTTTTAAGGCTGAGGGTAGAACTCAATGGTAGAATACTTGCCTAGCTTGTGCAAGGCCCTAAGTTCAATGTCCATCAGTACAAAAACAAATAAATAACATTTTAAATGATGTAATTAAAACGTATCCTAAAATATTAAAAAGAGGTAATAGCATTTTAAGATTAAATTTTAGTAATGTAAGCATTACAAAATATTTCCAAAAATTTTGTCTAATTACATTTGCTAACATTAAATCAGTAGTTATCAAGTTACACAAAATATAAAATATATACAATACCAAAATTAGTTCAGACTCTTACAGTTCAAAAATACCACCTTAGGAAGGTTTAGTCCCACCAATATAAACTGTAACAATTTAGTATTATAAATTTAATTTCAATTATTTACAGTCTGCTGGGAGTGGTGGCGCATGCCTGTAATCCCAGCACTCTGGGACACTGAGGCAGGAGGATCGCTGCAAGTTAGAGACCAGCCTGGGCTACAAAGTGAGCTCAAGGTCAACCTGAACCGCAGAGCGAGACCGTGTCTCAAAAAGACCAAAAAGAAAAAAAAAATTATTTATGGTCTATGGCTTGGTAAAGGACCAGATTCTGTAAAAGCAAAACTACTCAGAATAGTGTACCAGACAGAATCCAAGGGGAAAAAATAAACCTTTAACAGTAAGTTGTCCACAGTACAGGTTACCAAGCACCCATTGTTATGGTTTGTGTCTGGATGCCCCCCAAAGCCACATGCAGTCATGGGGTGGGCTTCTAGAGTTTATGACTGATCCAAGATCCAGTGCTGGGATTATGGGTGTGACAGCTACACCTGCCCTGGAGCGGATGGTTTCCATATCCAAGGGAGAGAAAGAGGCTGCTTCCACCACTCCTCCTTTTTGCACTTGTTGCCTTTGCGGTTTTCTGCAGCTATAAACAGTTCCCCTGCGCCAATGTGTCACTCTGCCTTGGAGCCAGCCAAGTACGGACTGAAACCTCCACAAACTGTGAGCTAAATAAACCTTTCCTTCCTTAATTTTGGGTGTCAGGCCTTTTTTCTCAGCAACGAGAGAAAAGAAACCAAAGCATCCATTTACCAAGCAATATGAAATTTGTGCCTACTATTCCATTCAAAAAATAAAATCAGATCTTTTTTCTCAGAAGCATAAAACTTAAAAGTCATGATATAAATAATATCATAGGTACAAAAAACAAAGTTTTTTTTCCTATGCCAAAACTATCAAAGATTTCAAAATTAAAATCAGACAATATCTGACTTAAAGATGGAGAAACAGTATGCTTATCATGTGCGTAATCAATATGGTTTTTTAGTCATTTTTTTCAGTTAGTCATGGATTTGTTACAGTCTCTTCCATATGATATACAGGGAGGTTTCCACAGACCTGAAATACAATGACGCTGTCTGGCCCAACAAAAGTTATGACTTGACTGGTAAAGTCTAGAAATGAAGCATCAGGAGATAATCTGTAGTACTAAATACCTCCATGTCCCTGGAGGAAAAACCATCAAGATCTCCTGGCCTTCTAACATTTATTGTCCCTTCAGGTAAATTATTAAAATTTTCTAGGTCTATTCCCTTACCTGCAAAAAGCGTCTATGTGTCTCAAACTTTTAAGTGCAGATCCTTGGGCCTACTACCAATGATTCAGAACCTAAGCTGCTAAATGAGTCGAAATTTAAGAAGCTAAATATTTCCTAAGCACATGTAACTTACATATACAGGCAGAAACACTAACTGAATAATCTCTTATGCTTAAACAAACATTACAGAAGGAAAGAAAGGGAGGAAGAGACCAGGTGTGTGTGTGGGGGTGTGTTTGCTGGTGAAATGGTCGTATTTTGGGCCAAGAAACACACAAAATGGTAGCAAAATTAAACAGGTAAAATATACAACACTCATCAGCAGCTCAAAAGCAATGATTTCAGTCTCTACACAAATACATTAACTGCAACATGAACCCTTATCCTCTTCTCAAACTGCAAAATACTAAGGTGATAAAGGAAGAAAACAGTACTACATGGAAGCCAAAAATGATTTGAAAGAAAATTACTGAATGACTAAAATCTGTTTTATCTAGCTAGAACCAAACACAGAATTTTAGGACAGTGATTAAACTTTGAAGTTCCTGATCACTAATATGCGCAAATTTCATTTGGCATAAGGATTCCAGAAATACTGTTTACAATATCAGCTTCTGTCCATTTTATTACATTTTCCCATTCACTTACATTATAATTTTTGAGATGTTTTATCCTCACTTCTGATGATCTTCAAATGCCAATGGCTCTTAACACATTAACTGTAAACAAACACAAAGGATCTTAAGGGAATTCACAGATATGTATTTAAGGAACCCTAGTATCAACTATTCTAAATTACTGTACTGTGTAAAGCAGGTGGGAGAAAGGAGGGAAGGAACAGAGGCTTTGGTATCATTTACTTGTTTCATAACTTATCTGATCTTCAACATGAAAAGATTTCTTTCAAATAAAAATTATATTACCATCTTAATCATTAGACACAGCATAAAAGTATCCTATTTTCTATCTAAAGAATATTCAACACTTGAGAAAATCCTCTCAAGATGTAAACACTCAATTTGTTATGTATCTGCATCCTTCTTCTGTATAGAAGTATGTCAAGAAAACTCCATAGAACTACCACCCAGTCAATCTGCCCTGAGACTGCCAGCAAACTATAGAACATAGGCTTCGACATGGGACACCAGATCTTCAGACAAAATCAGTTCTTTAAAGCACACACACCTTCAAGATGAACAGACCTGGATTCAAATGTAAAACTATTTTCTCTGGTCTTCATTTTCTTCATCTGTAAAATGTGAAAAGCAATACTATCTACACAGTTATGAGTATTATATGAGAAACTACATAGGATTTAGCACCTTGCCCAGTACATAAGCCCACAACAAATGTTAAGTGATATTATGTATATTGTTCATTAATAATAAACATTATATTGTTTAATATATTATTAATATTAATTCTATTGATTTATTATTACAACAACCATCTTCAATTTTGGAACACAAGCTTTTCTCAGGTTTTTCTATTTTTAGTTACTGCCTGAGAAGTAACTAAAGAATAAATAATTCTTATTCTTATGAAGAAGTAATGGAAGAGTATTAGTAACTGGATATCTGCACCATACCAAAAAATAGTTTTTTACTTTTGCAGGTATGCTGACTGAGCTCCAGAAATCAGTATAAAATAATTATTATGAAAACTACTCTGGACCAGTTATTTTCCCTTTTACTAATGCACAAACTCCTGACAAAAAAAACTGCCTCAACAATAACTCATTTGATGCTATCAGGAAAAAGAAAATCTGTTGAGAAGATGGACATATTTGTAACTTACGTCTATTAAGCTCTCTAAGTGTGATGAATAAACTGTCCTATCAATCCAGAAGAGACTTACCTATCCTTCTCTACCCACTTCCAAAAGTTAAGCGCCTTGTGTTTGAAATTATATGCTTAGAATATTAAAGTTAGGTGATCCAAGAATGCATAAAACACTGATATCTCTGGATGTTTCAATAAAAATTTTAGTTCAACAACATAAAAACAAACATGAAATATTGGCAGAAGCATTTATAAACTAACATGGCCTAAGCCAGCCACCTTTATCTCCCATACGGAAAGCATATGCTTAGAACTGAAACAAGAGAAAAATACCAAAGTTGAATCTAATGCATATTCTGGGAGGAAATAAAACACACACACATGATTTAGAAATGGACAACAAATTGAGGAAGTAAACACAGTAGGTCATAAAGCTCGTTATTACCACTACTTTCCCACACATACTTCTTGAGGTTTTCAAATGAAGTCACACAGCTGATCAGTCTTCATTTGATTTCTACCTGCTTGGCACATAACCATCTAGCAATATCATACGCATCACTTTCATTTCATGATTCTAGATTAGCATTTTAAAATTTAATACACAAAAAAGTTAAAAGTGAGTTCAAAGTATTTAAAAATACAAGTCTCTTTTCTGGTTTACCATAAAACCCAGTGTAATTACTATTTTGGTAATCATATTTGCAAATCTAAGAGTATCTCTGGTATAAATGAAATGTCCTAGACTTAAACTGTAAAATACCTTTCTTATTTTTAATGATTCATTTGCATACCATCAAAGAAGCTGTTGACTGTCTCCAATACCCATTCTCATCTATTCCTTGGCGACAGAACCGCTGATTTTTAATCAGCAGAAGGCCCCATGGAAGAGATGACCTGTCCCAGCACCCCTGTGGCTTTTCACAACCACAGCACCTTATAATGGTAACAGAATGTAAGCTTGAAAACTGCATGTGACTGCCAAAAGTGTCCTTAAAGAGAGGCATGATGTCCTTTTTCCCTTCCCTCTAAACAAGCAATGGCTAAAGGTCCTATAGCAATTTTGGTTCGTGAGGTTAGTCTTAATTCTTAAATCCGTTATATCAGATCTGTATTGACTATCACTGGGTTTGGGGTTTGGAAAAGAAAAACATACCTCTTGTTTTAAACCAGTGTTAGTCTGGATTTTCTGTTGTACTCAACTATATCTGAAACCTAAAGTTAGGGGCTGAGGGTACAGCTCAGTAGTAAAACACTTGCGTAGCATGTGTGACGCCCTGGGTTCAATCTCCCCAAAAAACAGATACATAAAATAATACAAATAAAATCTAACTTTTAACAAAAAGGCTTTTCCAAATATCAATAGTTTTTTTTAGAGCTTGTATGTTAAAGGGTATGCTGAAAGTTCATTTTTATTATATTTAAAACACAGTACAGTATCTGCCCTTATTTAGTCTGAATTAAAAAGTACTTAGAAGGCCAAGAGTAATTCGTATCAGTCTCTGAAAGAATCAAAAGGCATCAGTGGTTACTGCCGTGGCTCCCACACCCATACTTGGTCAAAGGAAGAACGACACTTGCTCTTTAATGGTACAGAGATGACAACACTGGTAAAATACAATAAGCACAAGTAGTTCTGTGTAACAGAGCTAAAGAAAGGAAAGTGAAACTCTCCTCATTAGGAGAGCATCTTTCATAGTCTCTTATTTTAATAATCTGTACCAATCTTTTCCTTTTTTAGAGTTCCATTTTTAACCTAACTTCCTGTGGAAAGCAGGCTTATAATATCATTCCTTATCCCTGACTCATTAAAAGATTTTAATACTACTTATTTAACAAAATCATAAGACACACAGATAGCAAGTGCTTTGCATATGCAAAACCATTTTCCTTAAAAGGAAAAAACTATTCCACACTAAAATCTGGAGTTTCCACTACTCAAATCCTGAACCACAAGCAGTCTTCAGCTCTGGTGATTTTGAATACAACAGCATTAACTCGGCAGTTCTCCAAAATAAACTCACTGCTTTCTGGACACTGGTATGTGGGTTATTTCCGTCCTTTGGGCACAGTCCAGGTTTCACTGATTCAGTGATGGCATCCTGGAATTTCTTTTTAGTAACCTATTTTTTAAACACTTGTTACCCCTGCTGTAGTTCATTAAGAATCTATTTTTAAGAAAAGGCCTAAAACTTACACTTTTGATTTGTATACTCATGGTGAAAAAGAAAAACCTCAGGAAATTTCCTTTAGAAAGTATATATATAAGCACACATGGTAGCACTCACTTGCTATAACCCCAGCACTATGGGAGGCTGAGGCAGGAGAATTACAAGGGGGATATAACACAATGTGTAACGCTTGGTTCAACATCCATTAAAAAAAAGATATACTAAATTCACAAGGGATGACTTTTACCTTCTACAACTTCAGTCAACATGTTTACAAAAGTATTCTCTTGCTATTACAAAATAATAGCTTATAATGCCTCTACCATAACCCTTAACGTTGTTTCAACTTATGTCAGAGTTGTGAGGCACCAATTAGCAAGACCCAAGACAGCGGTTCTCAAATATTAGCATGTATTGGGATTACTGAGAAAGCTTGCTCAAACACACACAGCTGGTCCCCACCCCGAAGTTCTTGATTCAGGTCTTAAGTAGGGTCCAAGAATTTGCATTTCTAACGAATTCCCAAAGGTTACAGATGCTACTTGTCCAGGGACCACACTTTGAGAACCACTGATCTAACATGAACTGAACACTACTAGTGACAGCAAGAGCAGCCAATGGGAAAAAGACACAGAAACCAATGCAGCAGCAGTATTAACTGGAATACTCCTAAACAGTAACAAATCTCTTTCAAAGTCCTTTCTAAAAATGTGAACAATAATTACTGGGTAACTCACAATAATATTGGCTTGTATCCAAGAGAATTTTAAAGTTTTTTATGGATCCTACAGCAATGAAATCCAATACTGTCTGAGCAATTCTTAGATTACTGATGTATTTTAGCATCTGACATAAGGGGCTAGCAATAATGCCAAGGTTGTAGGTTCAGTCTGGTAGCTTCACTTCGCCCTGCAGTCAATAACACTGGTCCCACTCAGCTACCTCTGAAGACATGACAGGAACACCATGTGTGATGGTTTTTGCCTGGACGTCCCCCTCAAAGCCTTATGCAGGGCGGGCTTTTGGGATGCGGATGAATCTAGAGTTTGTGATTGATTCATGATCCAGTGCTGGGATTACAGGTGTGAATGCTACAACCATCCTAACGTGGGAAGTCTGCAGACACTGTAAGGGACAGAAAAGGGCTTTCCTCTCATTCTCTCTTGTTGCTTTTGCTGTTTTCCCACGGCCATGTTGCCCCTCTGCCATGTACCAGGCTGCCTTGGAGCCAGCCAAGTATGGACTGAAACCGCCACAAACTTTGAGTTAAATAAACTTTTTCTGCTTTACCTTGGGTTTTTGGTATTTTGTCTCAGTAACGAGAGAAAAGTGTCTAAGCTCCCAAGTATCTAAGTATCTCATGTTAAGGTTAAGCATGTATGCCTGTATACCAATCCATCACCACTAATAGAAAAGTCTGTTTCCTACCAACATGCCACCTCTTTGAGTGATCTTGAAGCTGAAACTGAAGATGAGACCCTGCAACAAAATGTGTTTTAGAAATCCTGGAAATTCTTACCTCTTCAGGTTATAAGTATAATCAAAATTGACAGAAACAGAAATTGAGGATTTGCTACTTTCAGATAATTTTAAGGAATATGTGTACTTTCCCCCTTTTTAATGTAAGTTAAATGTAAGTAAGAGATGCTCATAAACCATAGTAACTTTATCAACTAGCTACCACCTGACCAAAAAAAAATATTCTGGGACACGTAAGTCTTTGAATGGGAATATCAAATAGAACTAGCAGGGAGCATTCTGTCAACA